GTATAAAATTCTGCAACGTTTAACGTTCGTTCTTTACCGCGCGTTAAATATAACGAAAGATTTTATCGTAGGAGAATTTTTGATGACAAGCGTTGAATCTTTACTTTTATGAAGTTTGTCGTATGGCGCCGTGAAAGACGATGTTTACGAAGTTATACTTGACAAACGTTGGAGAATACGTCGATGAATCACGAACGTACCGTTTTTTTTTATTGTTAGAGTATATGAAAATGACTCGTGAAGAAATTAAGTATTTGCTTATGTAGAGTTAATTTGAGACGATCGATATTGTCGAGCATCACTTTACATTTCAACGTGATAAGATCAAAGGGTGAAGACGAGACAATGTTTTTAATTTCTTCCACTTCGAACGTAAGTATCGTGTTTTTACTTCTTCAAGCCTGTCGGTAAGAAATGCAATTTATCGTGTTTATTGAATTTACTCTCGTCCCTTAATTAAACAGATTATGAAGATTAAAACTACTGTGTATCTGAAAACGAATCCTTCACAAAAGAAGAAAAAATCAGGAAATAAATTTCTGTTAGACTCTTATTAATATTAAAATTTTACTTCAACATCATTTCAAATATTCTATTGTTTGTTCAATGAAAAATACAGTATCTACGATGAATATATGCTACTTTTCGAAACATCGGAAATAAGCGTCACACGCGTCACTGTTCATTTTTACCAACAATCGCGATGCATGTACACTTTTCGAATTTTATCTAACCGTTGAGATGTAAAGAGAAAATTTACAAAATACTTTGTTTGCATTCCAAAGTAAATATTGTTGAACGAAAAGCTGTTCGAGGATCCTCTCCATTTCTTCTCTTTTTTCCACTCTACGAACCAACCGAGCAGTCTCGTTCCGCGTTTCAGTGATTCAGTGCATCCGTGACAGCCGACTGATCACGAGGTCCGGCGGTCCGGTCGTTCGCTTTCAGTCGAAGCGTTCGGAGTGTACAGAGGCAGTAGTGGGTCATCGGCGCGTTAATCATGCCACTCGTGCCGGTATAGGTTATGTCATCGCGTGTGAATGCCGTTTTTTTCACGCGTAAGGGGACGATTGTTTGATCGAGCCTCCGATACGAAGCACGAAGGATGCCGAGTCTCGTGACATTCGGCAGGCGCTGGCGCGTCGGTAGTGACGATCTTCTATTACCGGGCGCCACATTGGCTTGTATCCACGCGTTCGAGTAAGTATTCAACCCGAAATCCACCGTACTGTGCGAACAGGTGCTAAGCTTCTTCGCGTCGTAAATTCACTTGTAACACAGCGCGTTTTTTTTTCTTTTTAATTTCGACGCTTACGGGCACGTTGTTTTCGCGATCGAGGGATAAATTAATCAGTGTCCCACGTCCAGATTCTCCCCGTGTGACGTTGATCGATGAATGAATTTTCGATGCGCATCCGTTCAAGTTCGACGATCGACATTTTGTGACATTTGGAATTTCGAGGGCTCGAGGTGCATTGAAGAGGTAATCGAGTAGTATGTCGCGTTTCGGCTCGTTGAAATCACGAGTATAACGTGAAACGCTTCGTGTCGCGTACGTTATACAGGGTGAGTCTCGAAATGCGGACGGAAGTGTGTCTTTCTATGGCTTTATTTTTTTCGTAAGTGCAACGATGCACTTTTGTTTTTGTTTTTCTTGAACGAAACTGTATATTTTTTTTTACGCAGATCGACTCTTCGGAATATTCCTCGTATAAAAGTATTAGGTTATGACGTTAGAAACATCGATAATTCGTGAGGTGTTTGAAATTTTTAACAAGAATCATGTCACATAGTAAGCGTATAGCAGGATTTACGGAAAAAGTGAAGCCGTAGTAAGTCTTTTTATATCATTTTTAACTTTATCTTATACAATTTTTTCCTCCGTCTAATCAAATGAGATATACATAACCTGTCTTCGTTCGTGATTCACCCTGTGAATACGGTGTTTTAATAAAACAAAATTTGAAGTAAACATTGCTTGTAAAAGACTCCCTTTCCGAGAAGTTTAATTGAGAAAATTCTCCGATACGGATAATCTTTTTAATCTTATTAATTATTTGTATTTATGTGGGAGTGTACTTACGTGCGTATACTTTAACGATAATACGAAGCATTATCTTATTTCAACTGACACCGTCAGCTTTGGATTTGGCAATGCAGCAGTATCAATGCCGATTAAATTCTACAATCGCGTCGTTCCTTGAAATCTTATTCTGCACATACTGCGTGTCGCGTAGCCACGTTATACCGGCGTCTCTCTTTCGCGAAGTTACGCTGGAACTACCACGTGAAATAGATGGAAAAGTAGTCGGGAACAAAGTTATGGTGCGAAACACGTGACGCATCTCTAATTTTTCGCTTCCACATTTAAATCTCGTTTATATTAAAAGGTTTCACGGAAATGAAATAATTACGGTGAAA